AAAAAAAAAAAAAAAGCTGGAGGCATAACACTACCTGACTTTAAACTATATTACAAAGCTACAATAACCAAAACAGCATGATACTGGCATAAAAATAGACACGAAAAAATGGAAAAGAACAGAGAAACCAGAAATTAACCCATATGCCTACAGCCATCTGATCTTTAACAAAGGCAGCAAGTCTATATACTGGGGACGAAACTGCCTTTCAACAAATGGTGTTGGGAAAACTGGATACTCATATTTAGGAGAATGATACTAGAACCGTACTTCTCACCATATACCAAAATCAACTCAAAGTGGATTAAAGAATTAAATATACATCCTGAAGCAATAAAACTCCTTAAAGAAAACATAGAGGAAAAACTCCAGGAATTAGGGCTGGGTACAGACTTCATGAGTAGAAACCCCAAAGCACAGGCAACTAAAGGAAAAATAAACAAATGAGATTATGTCAAACTAAAAAGCTTCTGCACAGCAAAAGAAACAATCAACAGAGTAAATAGACAAACAAAAGAGTGGGAGAAAATATTTGCAAAATATACATCTGACAAAGAATTAATATCCAGAATATACAAAGAACTCAAACAACTTTATAGCAAAAAAACCCAAATAACCCAATTAAAAAATAGGCAAAGGAGCTGAATAGGCATTTCTCAAAGAAAGATATATGAATGGCCAACAGACACATGAAAAAATGCTCAACTTCACTCAGCATCCAGGAAATGCAAATGAAGACCACTTTGAGATATGATCTCTCTCCAGTTAGGATGGCTAATATCCAAAAGACTGAGAATGATAAGTGTGGAGTAAAAGGAACACTCCCACACTGTTGGTGGGGCTGCAAAATGGTGCACCCTTATGGAAAATGGTATGGAGGTTCCTCAAACAATTACAGAGAGATCTACCATATGACCCACCTATTCCATTGTTGGGAATATACCCAGAGGAAAGGAGATCATCATGCTGAAGGGATACCTGTACTCCAATGTTTATTGCAGCTCTATTAACAATAGTCAAGAGTTGGAACCAGCCCAAATGTCCACCATCAGATGAGTGGATAAGGAAATTGTGGTATATTTCCACAATGGGATACTAGTCTGCTATAAAAAAGAACAAAATACTACCATTCCCAACAACACGGATGGACTTAGAAAAAATTATGTTAAATGAAACAAGTCAGGCACAGAAAGAGAAATACCATGTTCTGACTTATTTGTGGGAGCTATAAATAAATAAACAAATAAACACACAAACAAATAAAGGGTGGGGGGGAAGAAGACACAACAATCACAAAAATTCCTTGAACTTTTTAAGTCAAGTGAACAGATATGATGTGGGGCAGAAGCGGG